TACTCCTTTCATCTTCTTTTGATGCTTTCTGGGTCACTTAATATTGTGCCCACAGCACCCATAAGTATTGCAACTTAAAGCTTGAATTTGTTCTTTAGTTCCTTCAGCTTAAGAAACACTGAGTGAGTTCATTCTTTTTGATCTTCTGACTCCAGCTCTTTGCATATTTTGTCATAACACTTTGCTTTATCTTTTAGTGTTACCCTTTGAAATCTTCTATCCAGCTCCTTAAAGTCTTGATTTCTTCCCGGTTGCTTCAATAAATTGTGGCTAACATTGAGCAAAATGGGAATCCCAGAAGACAGCAGAGAAAAACTGCATTGTTCAAAATCAGGAAAGATGTACTCCATGAATGCAATGTATCTCCATACCTTTTAAGTCTATTGTGGAATAGATCATCTGGGAGGCTGGACTCTATGAGGAAGAATATGGGATCAGGATTGCAGGAAGACTCATCAGCAACTTGCATTATGCAGATGACATAACCTTGCTTGCTGAAATTGAAGAGGACCTAAGGTACTTGCTGCAGAAGATCAAGGACTGCAGTCTTTAATATGAATTAAAGCATAACATCAAGAAAGCAAAGATTCTCACTACTGAGTCAATTGGTATCATAATAAAGGGAGAAGAGATTGAGATTGTTAACAAATTCAACTGGCTTGGCTCCATGAGCAACACTCTGGGCACTAACAATCAGAAAATAAGAAGATGAATTACACTGGGAAAATCTGCTGTCAGTGACCTCTCCAGAGTACTAAAGAGCAATAATGTCAGTCAGAGACTAAGGTGTGTCTGATCCAAGCCATAGTCTTCAAAATTACTTGCTATGCATCAGAGAGCTGGATAATAACTAAGGATAATAGGAGAATCTCTGCCTTTGAGTTGTGGTGCTGGAGAAGAGTACTGAATATACCATGGACTGATAAGAGAACATATAGGTATATCCTAGAGAAGGTGAAACTGAGCTAGCTGCTCTTTGGAGGCAAGGATTTTAAAACTCTGTTTCACAAACTTTGGACGTGTTGCCAGGAGATACCAAGTTTTTGTAGAGGGACATCATGCTTGGAAGGGTGGAGAGATAGAGTAGGAAAGGAAGATACTAGCTAAGGTGGACTGACTTAGTGACTGGGACAATAGGGGTAGGAGTGTTAGAAACAGTAATATTGGATGAGGATAGAACAGGGTTCAGAACTATTATACAAAGAGTCACTACAAGTTGCAGGTGACTCGACAACACTTAACAACCACCACAACAAGGCTGAGTCTAGG